ACCGTTTCCAAACCGGCCCTGAATGAATTGCCGTTCGATGAAGTACTCAAGAAAATAGATGAAAAACTACGAAAGATTGCGCGGAGAGACATGAATTCTGTTTGACGCTATGAGTAGTTTTTCGTTGGAGAACATTCTCAAAGAGCTACGAACTATGTGCCCAGTAACATTCACAAGTTTATCCCAGATGCTAGATTTGGACTGTGGCAACGAAAAAAAAGTTGCTCCACTGTGCCTTATGCACCTATCAATGTTTTCCCCCTGAGGGGGGGGGGGGGTACGGGCAACCCAGGAGAATTTTGACATTTTTAAAATTTTGTTGTCAAAATCACCACTGTTGGGCAAGGAACGGCTGTCAAAATTCCCCACTATATTCCTAAGATGACAAGGCACACACATGTTTTCCAATGCGAACATACAGTCTATACTGGTTTAAACTTGGTAAAAATTGAGACACTGTGTATAAAAGGCTATAAAAAACTTTTTCGATGAAACTTGATCGTGCTTCTCCGCCATACTTGTTACCAGGCCTTTGAATGTCAAAACCGCGCAAACTTTCAAGATGGCGGACGTCAAAATTTCCCGACTCTGGAGTTGATGCATAGGTCAATTCCCCTCACTAGGGCTTCATAGTGTGGTCAACGTCCCCTGGGTCGCCCGCCCCCCCCCAGGGGGAAAACAATGATAGGTGCATTATTTACGGCGTGTTGATGTTTAGGCGATGCCATGAACTGAGTTTAATACAACGCCTTATTACCATCTTACTAGCTGATAGTGACGCCACTAGCTGATAGTGACGCCAACACGGAGGTAAATTAACACAAAATATCTATTTGACTAATTTTTTTTGACTGCCGATAAACGATGTTTCGTTTTTGTATACAGGATGTATAAAAAAAACTGCAAACGCTATAGTTAGCGTTGCCTTTAATTGAAACGCTAATTATAGTCTGTATAAACATAATATTGTGATAAACAGCAAAAAATTTTGGGAAATTTGTTTTAAATTTTAATATTATATAGTTCCAAGCAAAGCCGCTAATTTTACTTGTTTTATACTTGGCCATAAGCTATTTGTGTTGCTTATATTGCTTGTGTTGCTACATTTTCTGTCGCAAATAGTGCACAGCTTTTGTGTTGTCAATTTCATTTCAATCAAGTCGAATTCTATTGTTGTTATATGTCACGCAACGTTAAACATAATCGTATCAAAACAAAAGCCTGTCTGACTTTTGTTGTATAATAATTAGTTTATACTCGTTTGGATAGATAAGTAAATGTTGCACGGGCCGTGACGATTTGCAGCGCATTACAAACAGTTACTGTAAAAACTGTTCTAAAATCTTACATACATTGTTCTAGTAGACTAAAATTGCCAATTATTATATTAAAACGCGCTTGTATTGTTGTAAAACATTTTAGTACCCTGAAGGCGACACGGGTTCACGTGCCAAAAGCTTAATTTAAATAAAATTTAATGGTGAAAATTACTTAAATTAGCAACATTAATTAATATTTTGGCTAATTGTGTTACTAAAGCTTTGCATGTCCTTTTTTATATGTATACTGCAGGTATATGAGAGATTCAACAAGTTTGGTCTTTGTCTGGTAAAAACAATGAAGTACACCATACAGGAAGACATTGGTGCTCATTTCCTACACAAAGTCGTAGAGGAAGTTAAGGATGGAAAAACATTCTCTTTTGTCATTGACAACATTGACTGGGAGGAGCATGTTCATGAAATGCGGTCAGATAACCAAAACGAGAGTGTGCATGCCGTAGCAACATCTATAGTGTTTGATTGTGTTTCATCCAGCCACTTGCCAGATGAAGAGCCACAGCAGTCCTTAGCTTCCTGTGATGTTGTCAAATTAGTCCAGTTATCGGACAGTGATATTGCATTATTGATATTGATTTATAAGTCAATAGCCGCACATATTCTTTGTGAATACATCCCAACCTTTAAATTCCTCAAGGACTTGGTGACTCATTTTGATGTACCGATGCAACATAAGGTGGAGATGCAACAAAAGTCCCTTGTTGTGCCCTTCCCTGTCCTGTTTAAAGATGAAAAGAAATATGCAGAAATTGTGCATGTGTTGGATCAGCTGGAAAAATGGGTCCACCAAATTTATGCTCTGGCAGGCAAAATTCCACCTGAAAAAGATATCTCAAATGCCCACTATGTGACCCTTCCATCAGTACCATCTACCTCCCAACCTGACCAGCCATTATCACATGTCCACCCTGTTGCTGATCCGAATGATCCCTTAGCAAATTAGGTGCGAGTGCCATGTTATGGTGATCAGCTCACCCGAGTGCGAATAGCTGGAGCCAAAGATTTACGAGCTGGCTGTCATACCGCAAAGGATCAGATCAGTCATATCTACCCAATAAAGTGTGCACACTGGCACTGCAAGAGAAGTTTTTGAAGGTAATGCATGCATTGCATTTGAATTGTTATAATGAGACAAGGCAATTCATTGCTTAATTAATTAAATAATTACCTTTAAATGCAAAACTCTGACAATGTTATTTATCAGCTTTTACCAGTGTTGTAATGAGTCGAGTCATTGACTCAGACTCGAGTCACTATTTTCAGCGACTCGAGTCCAATATGAAAAATGACTCGACTTGAGTCAACGGCCCCAAATGACTAAACTCAGACTCGACTTACTGATTTTTGCCGTCACTCAGCTGCAACTTGTACAGAATAAGTTCATCAAAATTATTGTGATTGTATTGCTTGGGAAGAACAATGAGCCCTGTGAAGTTGTAAAGAACGAGAACTTCGAAACTTTATCAGAAAATATATGGGGATTTGCATAGAATATATTCCTGACAGACATGCCAATATTACATTTCTGTTTTTAGAAACAACGCTAGTGCCACAGTTTTTAAAATGGAGTCTCAAAATTTTTTGTACTTATACTAATCCTGACAAGCTCTTTTCATTTTTGGTATGAATATGAAGTGCTATATAATTTTTAAATTGACTTACAAAGCGTGATTAATTAAAGTCTATTCTTTGTTAATTCTGACTCCAATTGCAAGTTTTGCTAGTTGTATGTACATACACTCGATCAGCAGGCATGATGAGACATCTCATGTGGTCCTACTTAATATTGATATGACTGTGATATACAGCCTAGCTGCCCGGATACTGTTATTAAATGACTAATTAAAAGTGATTAGCTTAAAAGGTAAATTTGATTACTAATTTCAGACTGCAAGCTAGGGTAGAGAGCCATTACAGAAAGCGTTGGGTGGACTTGCTATTGACTCTACTTGACTTAAACCAGTGACTTGACTCGAGTGAAGCCGCTGACTCAAATGAAGGTTATAGATTCATGTTTTGCTATTTATGAATGCTAATCCTAACTGCTAACCCTAACTCTCCTGACGAAAAAAGTCTATAGGTGGCCTATAGGTTCCTATAGGAAATGTTCCAATTCCCTATAGAGGCCTTTAGGCACCTATAGAGATCTATAGGCTTATACCCAGCGGGCAAAATGACGTTTATTCAACGTTGAATCAACGTTGGAAATGACCTTCCAGACGTTGGATAGACGTTGAAAAAGGATTGATAATGCAAATTGGATCGACGTTACTGTTTCGACGTTGAAACAACGTTGAAATTAGGTTGCCAATCTCGTCAACCATAAGTCAACGTTGAATCAACGTTGAAACAACGTTGAGATCACTTCACAAATCGACGTCGTACATTTAACCATGAATGAACGTTGATTCAACGTCTGTTGGCTGCTGTTGAACCAATGTTTTTAAAACAACGTCAGAGCAACGTAGATATTAGGTTGTCGAAGTCGCAACCTTTTTTCTACCAAATTTCAACGTTGAAACAACGTCGTACGTGTGCCCGGTGGGTAGGCATCCCTATAGGTCACCTATAGAAAATGTTCCAATTGCCTATAAAAACCTATAGGTTTCCTATAGAAACCTATAGGCTTTTTTTGTTATATATATATATATATATATATATATATATATATATATATATATATATATATATATATATATATATA